TCCTGAGAGGATGGTCATCTTTAACTTTCTCCCCAAACGTGCAGATGAGGGATAAGGGATCCCAAGAGCAGCTATCATGTCAAGCTGGAGAGGTTAAAAGAGAAAATATCTCTTAGTACCCCCCAACAAGGACTGGACTGGGAGAGGACAGACAAGGAAAGAAGGCAAGACAGGGTTAAATGGGGCTGCAGTGGAGTTAAGTTGTGTGAAGTTATTTGTCCTGTTAATGGGCAGCAGCAATTTTGCTGATGTCATATTACATGTGTAGATCTTAGTCACGGAGTTCCAATTAATTTTCGTCTTTCTTCCTCATCTTGTGGCTTTATTTTTCTCCCTAAACATTTCCTGTTCTCTTGGCTCTTTTTCTCAGCAAAAACCGACAACACCCACCCCTACAAGTGGGCATTTTAGCATCCAAAAGGGTTCCTCTTGCAGCTTAGAAAATCTTTTCCTTTTCACTTAACCATCCCAGCTCTGAAACATTTTGTCTAATCTTTATTTTATTATTTAGATGGAGGGAGGGGGAGGACTAGGAAGGAACTGAACTGTTTGTGAAAAAAAATAAAAATAAAATTGCCCAGTGTTAGAGCTTAGCACTGCCCTTCCTACGCTCCGGGAGAAGAGTGTAGCTTTTATTCAACACTAAACAATCTGTGCTGAGCATTTGAGTTTCCCATTCTTGTGAGTGTAAATGACATTGAAGATAAGAATCATAAAGCTAAGATGAACTTGGAGAACAATATGTTTTCCTTTCTTTCTAGATTTGCTGTTCCTTCCAGCTTTGGACCCTGCTTTTTTTCTTTTATTCCCTATTTCTGATCCTTCTTTTTTCCAGTATCCTTCTTCCTCCACCTCCATTCTTTCCATTCTCTTCTTTCCCCTCCTTTTCTTCTCTCCCCCTTCCCTTTGTTTGCCAGCTCGCTCCCTGTCTCAGTGACGCGTGCACGGCTTCATCCAAATGCAATATCGGTATTTGCCAGAACTATTTCCGAGGCCAACGGGGGTTTTATTTAACTACAACCGACTGTAGCTTTTCTATCATAGGGTAATTTGGTTTTCAGATGTCCCAGCCCCAAAACACACAGCATTGTTAAGTGCAGACTCGCAGAACAGGGAAGCTACTATGGAAATCTGCTACAGTACAATAGACTTTTACCTTGTAGATCCGTTCGTATGTATGTATATGTGCGTGCGTGCACACAAGGGAACATAGATAGACAATACAAATGTTTACTAACTCTAGAGGCAATAGCAATGAAATACCAACCCCTGGGGAGCTGTAATTCCTGAGATTATAGCGTATTGCTCACAGCTGAAGGATGTTGAGTGCTCACCAGCTCATCCCATCCCCTTTACATTCTTCCAGGCATTAGCTTTACTAATTTGAGAGATTTTCTTATTATATCTCATACATTCAGTCTTTGGGGTCAGACATTTCTCCCCACCCCTGTCCTATAGTTTGTACCTTGGGCACAGGGGGGGCCCCCTTGGGCACAGGGGGGCAGCCCTGAGTCTATTTTAGCTTCCTACCACACAGTAGATCCCAAGGAGATTGCTAAGAAAGTTCTGTGCCGCCGCAAGGAGGCATCCTGCTCTCTGGTCAACCCAGTCTAAGCAGCTTCTTGCCACAGACATCTGCAGCCACCACTGTTGTTCAAAGGCAATAACACAGACACCACCATCCAGAAACTGAGCCATGCACCTCCAGAGAGAAAAGCCAGTGCTGGTCCTGCATGTTGTAAAGCACCACAGCTCCCAACTTTGGCCTGCAGGAAAATCCTATCTGCTGTTAGACCTGGAGGGGAGACCCCTAGCATGAGCTGGCTCATGGGGAATAAGAAGAACTGTTTATATGATTTTACAACCAAGATAGAAATACTGCCCACATGTTGGGGAGAAGCCGTTCTGTACTAGAGTGTCTGTTCCTTTGCTTACCTGACCCCAAATACGGGACAGGAAGGAACCAGGGTCATGAAATAGGCAGGGTGTGGTAGCCAAGTCCCCTTTCTGCATCTGGGGGCTGTGCCTCCCCAACTCCTGCTGTATAGCACAAAAAAACAGGAGAAAAGCTGGAAAATGTAATCCAGCTGACACCAAAAGGCTCAAAACCCAGAAGGCAAAGAAAAGCTCGTGCTTTTGGGGCCTAACTCATGACTTTTGAATATTTGGCTTTGGTTACTTTGCAATGGGGAACCTGCAAAAAAGTCTTCCTTATCCTTTCACCCAAAAGAGAGCCCTCCTGCCACATCATGTGATGACCACATCATGAATTGTTAGCAAGATCATGCTTTGGGATCATTATGCCAAATAAGACCATATGTGAACTAATGTCCCAGGGCACCTTGCAAAGAATTCCTTTCACTGATCTCTACCATCACTGGCCTTTGGTGATTCTTCATTAGGAGCAGTGGTTCTTATTTTGTCTGCAGCTTCTGCAGAAGCAGGCCATACTGGGCTTTCCACTGAGTTCTGCAGGGCCAAGAGGTTGAGACAGTTCTCTAAGCTTGGGTACTTGTCTGAATTAAAACCACAGCTGTGAGCTGTCTTGAGACCCAATGAAAGAGCATGGACTGAGCAGGAAAGAATTCTTCCCTGGTAGTCTATGTGAATTGAGTAGGAATTGTCTCCTGATACATGGCTTAATCCTATTACTTTATTGCATTGAGGCTGCTGCCACAGCAAACCAAATCCAGCAGTGATCAATAACAAGCAGTGCCCCTTATATCTCCTTAAACCCTTTACTGATGCTCAACACACTCAGCAGAGCCAATGAAGGTATGTGTTAGCATCAATGCTGCCTCACTCTTACTGCACACTGAGCTCTATTTTTCAAACGCACATTTCTAAGCACTTTCTACAGGTTGATCAGGCTCAGTATCTCCACTATTAGAAGGGGGAGCTAAGGTGATAACCCAAGGTAGTCTGCATAAAACCCAGATATCAATATGTGACAGGCCTCTGTTCAGTGCCCCAGTCACTGGGTTACACTGCTTGTTTTCTAGGATGCCTTAGGGGGCCAAATTCAGAGGGATGGATGCAAGTCCTAGATAGCTGGGATACTTAGGGAGATCAGTTTTGAAAGTAGAGTGTGACAAGCCACAGTCTTAAGTACCAGCCCATGGAGTAGATTTTGGCTAGCATAAGGTTCTTTGCTGTAGCAGCCAAAGGCAGAACAAAATCCAAGGCTGGGACTGAAAGCTAGACAAGATTCCAGCACAAAATAAGATGCCCACGTTTAGGTAAGGATGATCACCCTTGAAAGCTACAGCTTGGAATGCAGTAGCTTCCCCCTCACCTGCAGCCATCAAGTCAAATTTGGTTGTGTCTTTCAATAGAAATTACCTGCCAACTCATTTGCGCATTATTAGGCTTAGAGCAGCATCACTGGAAAGGGTTCTCTGGCCTGTGATGGGCAAGAATAGATCATTATTACAGGCCCTTTTAGGAACATGGGACTTGAAAGGGTCTTCTGAGTCATCAAGACTAGTCACCACGTGATAGGATCCTGTACATAAGCCTTTCTGGTTTTTCAAGTCATGACTATGTAATTTAAGGGTTGAAATAGATGGAGAAGTGGGTGACATTGAGTTTAATTTTCCCAGGATCCTTGGGAATTGCATCTGCACTGACCAAGTGGCTCATGTGTGGCCCCTGGCATTGGTTCCAGAAGGCTGAGTAGAATCTGTTCTGTGTTGAGCCCCTGTGGAGACCAGCCGGCCTGGCACACACTAAAATCTTTTTTTGGAAAAATGCTTTTTTTCCCCTTGTTCTTTAAATAATTAAGTCCAGATTTCCCCTTTGCTGGGAAACAGAGCCCATATGAGCATGCCTTTCCCCAGCTTGCTACATTTCTATGCTCAGTGGGGGACAAGGACCGGGAGAAGGACAAGGCAGCCCCATTTGACTTTATGAGGAGACAATCCTGATCTGGGAGAGGAGATGCCAGTGGGGTGGAGTATCTTAGTCCATCCGACTGCCACTGGATTGGGATATAAGAGGTCTTTTCATTCGTGAAAGGAGCAGCTTTGATTGCTTCCCCTCAATCAAACTCTGTTTACTTTACCAAGTGAGACCAGCATATAAGCCTGTTAATTACAGTTCTGTTCTCAGCACAGCATTGGCTGGTCCTGGAGACTCTAGCTAGCCTGGCGGAGTCCAATTCTCTGCAGGAAATGGCAACACCTTCCTGAAATGTGCATAGTGACTATATGGGCAGTCAGCTCTTGTCCATCTCCCCAGCTTCTCTTAGCCGTCAGTGCTAAATGAGAAGCTCGTTCGCATTTTGTAAATAGTTGATTTCCAGGGTTTGGGCTTGTCTGATCAGATGGGTTTCTCATACTGGAGTGTGTGAGAGGGTAAAGGGACTAAGCAGGAAGATACAAAGAGATCATCTGTATGGCAGAATAAGATAGGGTCAGCTCTAGCCCCCATGGGGGAGATCTAGCTCCCCATTAACCTGCTTAGGGTCCATTCATCCACCACTGGTGCCAGAGACCAGGAAAGTTGGACTGAGCATAACCTTTTTTTTTATGGGGAATAGGTGTTATTCCCTGAACTCTTGCAAAAGCGTTTTATAGCATGTAAATGTCCAGGCTGGATAAATGATGCCCAGGAGTAAGGGGCAGGGGCTGGAGAATGGAACTCATGGGACCTTGAAAGTTGGAGTTCCCCTATAGAAGAGGCTGATGACTGCCACTGGGGGTTCTCCTAGTGGCAGATTCATGGAGTAAATAGGTTCCTGGACCAGTCCTTATATAGCTGCCGATGTCTCACACAGCATGTGGAACTGTGTCTGGGAGAGGACTGTGAATGGACCTGTGGGGCACAGCCCCCTGGAAATGGCTGTGCCTACCCATGCAGTATACTCAGGGCATTATGACCTTTGTGGGAGGGGTAGATAGCATTAGAAGGACCTTCCCATGGAGGTGAGGCCTGGTTCTCAGCACTTGCTCAGGGTGTTCTCAGGGTAATGCTGATTTCTGTCATATCCTTTTTGGCAGGTTTCCCCAGGACTGTGCCTGGATTTAGGGTCCAGACACTCACCTCACCATGCCCCTTGTTGCCTTCATCCTCTGGTCCACCCTGCTGACTCTGGGCTGGCGGGCAGCCCACACCAAGGATTATGTCTTTGCCACTCCAAGGGTGCAGCTCTCCTTCAAAGGTAAGAAGCTTCCTCCTCCTCACTGCAAAAGTTGAGGCATTGTACATTGTGTGCCTTGGTAGTAAAAACTAAATTACCATGGCTGTCCCCAGAGTCTATGCCAATGGGATCAAAAATCCAGGCCTGGGCCTTCTCCTCCTAGGGGCTTGCCCTGAGCTCGTTCCAGGGGTACAGGAATCCAGATCTTTGGACAATACTGGCCAGGATCATGTTACTTAAGTGGAATGGAATGAGGCTGGGAGCCTGTTTGTGTTGTGGATGGGCATGTTGTGGGTATCCCTCTCCATCTGAGGAGAACCTGTACTTGGGCATGAGGAGCTTTGCTATAATTTGTAGAGACAAGCATGGTGGCAAGTGTTGCAGGCAGCAGCTTGACAACACAGCAACTCCAAACTAATACTGGTGGCTAGGACCTGGCAAGAAGCCAGCCAAGGGTGGAATGAAGGGATGTCTTCACCTCCTCGGCTCTAAATTGTTGGATACATTCTGGCCTTCATGAAACACTGCATTAACCTAATCAAACAGTGCAATGGTTTGGGTGTGATATGGACAATCCATGGGGATGCAGCTGAGACATCATAGAAGGCAGTTCTTTCCAGGCCTACCACCCCACAACCAGGAAAGGGGCAAATACCCACTTTGGGATCAACATAGTTTGAGTTCACCCAGCAGAGGGCAGCTGTTGCAGTGTTAAATAAAGCTTCTGCTTCCAGTGCAGGACACTAGTCCCCTCCCTCACGTCCCCATCATGTGGCATAAAATGCCATAGCCGTTAAGGACAGAAGTTTGCCTGTGGACATCAGTTTACAAAGATTTAGCCAGGGAGTGATGCCATCTGTTGAAAATGAAGCCATGCACTGGTGCTGATGCCTGTAGATCCCTACACAAATTTCTGGTCACTCAGTCAAATCCCATTGTCCTGTCATGATCTACCCAGCTTTGTGCATTCACTCGTGCTATGGACACATGGGACTTGTGCTGTGTCATCTGCTGATGGTGTGGGGCTTGATTTGTAAGGAGAGGCTGGTGGGCAGTTGCATGCATAAATTTGTTAATTACCTGGGTTTGCACAAGCAAACTGTGGGGAACGTGTATGCACATTTCTGGCATATGCAACCTGATCTAAGAATACAGGCCTCTGCTGTCTTTATGTGCATCTCCTGTCACTCACCAACTGTTGGAATAGAAGAAGGATTCCTGGGTACAACATGTTAACTGTTCCCAGCCCCGCTACCCTTCATCTGCTGACCTTGATCAAGTTCCTTTGTCTCTCAGTGCCTAAGCTTCCCCTTTCACCTTTTATCTAGCTAACCTGTGAGCTCTACCAGGAAACTCTTTCACTGTGGGTTTGTTCAGAGCCCAGCATAAAGAGCTCCTGGTCGGGGCTTCCAGGTCGCACTGTGCTGCCTGTAATAAACAAGAATGAGTGTGTGAAACAAAGGCAGCGGGACAGGCTGGATGTGGGCCTTAAGGTCATCACTGAGAGCAAGGATTCAAACTAGGGAGAGGCTGTCGTATACAAGCTCCCCCTGCCAGGACCTGGCTTGGGGAGTTTTTCCTTTGGATCCTCTGAACACCTGTAGATGTGGGTAGCTGTGTGGACAATAGGGTGCCAGGCAGCTGGGCAGGCTGATAGGAGTGGTAGGGGCCGAACAAGAGAGAGACCATGAGAAAGGGCTCTGGGTGGGGAGTCCCAGGGAACTGGTGAATACTGATGATCTGTGTTGCTGGGCCATGCAGCTAGCCAGTATTCCCACCAGAAGGAGTTGGTTCCTCACGGTCTGCTCTGTGCTCCGGGCCATGGCTGCTAACAGATGTGACTGCCACCCTTCAGATGAGTCAGATGTTTGTGTGCATGGACAGAAGAGGAGTTACAGCTGTAACTCCCTACAGTAACTCTCCGTTAAAATCCAGCCCAGGGATAATGCCAGGCACAGTTCTTTACTGTTTTCTGCATATACCCACCAACTCAGAAAGGGGTTCCCTCCCATTATAACATGATGACACTAAAATCTTTTGTTGCTGCCAGTGACCTTTACCTCTGCACCTCCTTCTTGCCCTCCCATCCCACCTCATCTGGGCTGAGTCAGGCTGACTCTCTGAGGCTGTCTTGTACCTCTTGAGTGCTGAAGAGCATGTACATGCTGATCACACAGCTAACAAAAGAAGCTGGCACCTGACAGGTGTTGATCCCACCTGCTGGAAACGGGGAGTTTAAATTTTCTATCAAACTTTTCCTGGTTTTGCTTTCAAAATCTTCTGCTTGTTGCATTGTGAGGCCCCATGCCCAGCCTGGCCACACAGAATCCCAGACCCTTGCTGCTCTCCCTATGCTCCATTCACATGCCAGTAGATCCAGATCCTTTCCCCCCCACCCCCCCCAACACACACACACGTTGCTGTCACACACACATCACAGCTGGCAGACCCAGGCCTAGCCAATAATGGATTCACCAAGTTTAGCCCTTGTTTAGCAATGAACTTTGGCTTGTGGGAATTTCCCCCTTTTTTTTTATTCCACAAGCCCTTCCTGACAAGAGACTGCAGCCAAAGGGATTTCAAATCATCCGGACAGATTTGCCACCCGCGTTCCAGAAAGATGAATTGAAACTGGAACAGGTGCAGAGAAGGGCTTCTGAGATGATCAGGGGAATGGGGAGCCTGTCCCATAAGCAGAGACTAGGACAGCTCAGCATGTTCAGCTTAAGCACAACGAAAGGCAGAGAGAGGATCTGATTGCTGTCTATAAATACACTGGGGTGCAGACACCAGGAGAAGAGCTATTGAAGCTAAATGACAATGTTGGCACAAGAACAAATGGGTATAACTGGCCATGGATAAATTTAGGCTGGGAGCTACAAGAAGGTTTCAAGCCATCAGACTTGAGAGGTTCTGGAATGCCCTTCCAGAGGAGTAGGAGGGACAAGAAGCTGAACTGCTTTTAAGATGATCCTTGACACATTTATAAAAGGGCCGTGATGCCAGGTACCTGCGAGAACAGGGTAGCAGATTTGATCACCCAGGCCGGTATTTCTAATAGAAGTAGATACATCGGTCTGATATCGGATTGGCACCAATATAAAGAAAATTTACTGTATTGGAAATCAGCCTGATGTGGCCAATAATTTGGCCAATAAATGCCTGTGCATGTGTGCAGCTACAGCACAGCACATAGCAGCCCAGCAGCTTGGAGAGCTGGGTGCAGCTGGTAAGTCTGTTGTGGTAGAAGGGGAGGGAAGGGCTAGAGGAGGGGGCAGATGAAGAGATGAAGCCCCCATGGTAAGGGAGGGAATGGAGCTGGGTCTGGGGCAGGCGCTGGCCAGCCGGGGTGGAGCAGGGCATGGGACAGAGCTGTGGCTCATCCAGGGGGTGCCGGGGTGGGGCAGGTCTCACCACTGCACACACCCCGGGAGGGCACGGTGCGGGGGACGTGCCTCCAGATCTTCATGGGGCAGGGCAAGCTGCAGCTGCAGGCTGGGGCTGTGCTGGGCTCTTCCCGGCAGGGGCTGGGTCAGGCTGTGCTCAGGGCAGGGCGGGTGGTGGTGCTGGGACCGAGGGTTGGGGGGCTACAGTGAATTTCGGGGTGGCTGCAGG